AGAAAAACACCACCAGAGTGTGTCTGGGGATTCCACAGAGCACCCTTCCGAAAGCTGGATGGGGCGGGCTGTTATGAAGCCCCCTTTCCCCCTCCTACGACAAAAGGTCATAATGCACGGTACTTCACGGTTTTATATAAATCTTGGTTTAGGATGTGGAACAGACAATAATACATGCACCCTTGGCATAAATACTTCTTCTGATGTCCAGAACCAGAAGCAAACAGGTCGCTGCAAACAAAAGAGCAGACACAGGATGCCCATTACCCTTAAAGAGAGATTGCATATGTCCCCCACTCCCCAGTTCCTATCTGCAGGGTTTGAGTTGAACCTATAAAACAGGTTATTACGGCAGTCTTGGAGGATTGGAGGATTGAAAAGACACGGTCGGGTGCAAAAGAAAACGCTGGAGGCGAGGGCGAGGGTGGGGCGGGATGGGAAACAGGCCTGCGTCGGAAAAAACTCCCCCCCCACCACCAATCCCACGTGTGCTACCGTTATTTGTGCCGTTTTCGAGGCCCGAAGTCCTCCGGGACTGGGCCGGCGTTGAGAACCTCAAGCTCTCTGTGCTGGGGCCCGGACAACTCGAGAACACCGGCCCAGGGTTCTCGGCAGCCCACAGCGCCCCCTCCCCAAACTCTGGGTGACGGAGCCTCCGCCCACTGGTTGTGGGAGGGGGTGCTGGATGGGCTAGGAGCAGGGTGACCACAGGCGGACCCGTCGGCGTGGCGCACTTCCCAGAGGTGCCAGAGGGCGTCTGCCCTCAGGGCGTGCCTCCGGGGAGAGCTGAAGCGCTCCGGGTTGGCGCGACCCTAGTGGCCAGTGGGCACCGGGCGATCCAAGGAGCTGTGGGATGCGCCGGGAGGGGGAATAGTTGGGTAGCCCTTAAAATTCCTCTTTCGGAATAAAAGGAAGTGCGGGGGTGGGGGCGGGGGTGGCGGGAGGTGGGTGCTAATCCAGCAGGCATCCTGTGTGCCTCGGGCTAGGGAGCTCGGGAATCCAAGCAGTGTCAAGGCTAGAGGGAGCTCTGGGCGCACTACGAGCCCGCGAGCGAGCGCGGCCAGGCCCTAGTGCGCCGAGGGCGACTCCCGGGACGGCGCGGCCGCGACGCCTCGAGCCGTGGGGCGTCCGGTGGGATCAAAGGAGCCAAAGGCGGCCAGCCGGCGCGTCTAGGATTGTGGGATAAGGGGCGGGAGAAAGAGGATTGGCTTGGGCTGGGAGATCCTGGCCGGGTCGGTATCACCGGGAGGTGTGTGTATGTGCGCGCTTAAGTC